TTTCTTGCACCATGAACATTGGCACAGGATGGAAAAAGAATGAAGGGAATGATCAGAAATTCGAAATTCATGTACGGACGGTTCTCAGTAGCACCACAGGACGGTTGTCAGTGACATCGGGGATCATTCAATTTTATCTGGTTGAACTGCCAAGCCTCCACAGCACCAAAGAAGAGAACGGCGCTGCAAAAGCCTCTCAGACTTCATTTGCAAATGTTCGGTGAAAATTCAAAAATATTCAAAATACAAATCTCTGACGAGAAGTGGTGAGCGGCGCAAACTAAAGGAATTTAAAGCAGGTAGATCACGAAGTATGAGACGACACAGGATCATCTCAAAATGAACAAACCAACCTGTAGATCAACTCTCCTCTGAAAGAGTTTCTGACAAGGAAAATCAATCCCAAGCCCCGCACAAATTGTTTAAGACTTCTCAGATGAATATTTGTAGACGGCCTGGTTGCGTCGCGTTCTCGCTTGTAAACTAAGATAGGAGATATCTGCTGACCTACTGTCCAACTGCTTCTCTGAAGCACTAATTCGCCAGTGCTGCTTCTGACTTAAACACATTATGTATGTATGTATGTATGTATCTATCTATCTATCTATCTATGTATGTATGTATGTATGTATGTATGTATGTAACGGTATGTAACGGTATGTAACGGTATGTAACGGTATGTAACGGTATGTAACGGTATGTAACGGTATGTAACGGTATGTAACGGTATGTAGGGGTATGTAACGGTATGTAACGGTATGTAACGGTATGTAACGGTATATAACGGTATGTAACGGTATGTAATGTATGTATGTCATGTATTGTATGTAATGTATTGTATGTAATGTATGTATTTAATGTATGTATGTATATATGTATGCATGTAATGTATGTATATAATGTATGTATGTAATGTATGTTTTTGATGTATGTATGTAATGTATATACATATATATAATGTAATGTAATGTAATGTAAATATAAATGTAAATGTGAAATGTTACTGGAATGTAATGTAATGTATGTATCTATGTATCTATGTATCTATGTATGTATGTATCTATGTATGTATGTATGTATCTATGTATGTATCTATGTATGTATCTATGTATGTATTTATGTATGAATCTATGTATGTATCTATGTATGTATCTATGTATGTATCTGTGTATGTATCTATGTATGTATCTATGTATGTATCTATGTATGTATCTATGTATGTATCTATGAATGGATCTATGTATGTATCTATGAACGGATCTATGTATGTATCTATGTATGTATCTATGTATGTATCTATGTATGTATCTATGTATGTATGTATGTATGTATGTATGTATGTGTGTATCTATGTATTTATCTATGTATATATGTATGTATGTATCTATCTATGTATGTATCTAAGTCTGTATGTATCTAAGTCTGTATGTATGTATGTATGTATGTATGTATGTATGTATGTATGTATGTATGTATGTATGTATGTGTGTATCTATGTATTTATCTATGTATGTATGTATGCATGCATGCATGCATGTACAAAAACACATGTATATATATAGTGTATATATATAATATGTGTATTTCTGGATGTAACTCCATGTGTGTACATGTGTATATATATATGTGATATATGTGTGTATATGTATTTGTATATACATATCAAATATGTAAGCATGTAATATGTACATGTTTGTATATATATATATATTGTGCATATATGTGCATCTAAGTGCGTATATGTGCATCTAAGTGCATATATGTGCATATACGTGCATATATGCGTGTTATGTTTTGTGTGTGTGTGCATATAGAATCATATATATAATTATATATACACAATTATATACGCATCTACGTTACAATAATACTTGCATACAAAATGTAATTGCTGTAAAGTAAAGATCTTTAAAGCCTGTGCGTCTCGCTTTGTCTATTCTATCTACACGTGATACACTCTTTGCATTCTTTACATTCTACATGACGTGCTGGATGCATGTCACATGTTTGCTGCAAAGAGGAGTCGGGCCACAGCTGCACCACATGGACTCTGCGGGTATTGGCACTTCCACAACTTGGTGCACCATTCAGTGCTCTCAGCCTCGCAGCAAAATGCCTTCAGCTCTCCGAATGGCCCAGATCTTTCATTGGTGCGAACTCTTGCTAATGGAACATCTTGGAACACTGCTGTTCATTCCACAAATCCTAGAGACTTTAGAATCCGCTCGGTTGTCAGTCTTATCTCCCCTGGCTCTCCTATGTCGAAAGTGCCTGCTTCTTCTCTCTCGAAGTGACAAAAAGAAAATCCAGCCTTTTCCGTGGAAGCTGCAGTCCAACAGCCTTTGCATACCCTGACAGCGTAGCAACGTATTTGATACATACAGAACCCGCAGACGCACAGAAGCCCAAACAGTTTGCGCCTAGCAAATGCGGCTGCATTAGCTTTGCTTCAGGGCTGAGGGAGATCAAATCCATCTTGTAAGCTCCGGTTTCCTCTTCAGGATCAGTTCTACTTTGAAGCTATCCAAGCTATTGAAGCTATTGATTGCAAAGAGGGCATTTGATCTTCAGCGCAGCAAGGCTCTAGATTGAATCAACCTCGCAACTTTGAGTCAATGCATGTTTGCGGATGCATATTTGGTTGCATATCTGTGGCCAAGAGTCCTGGTCAGATTCTGTTGGCAAGCCAGAAAGTTAGACTAACAAGCGCAGTGTCAATTCCTGTCGTTGGTTCTTCCATGTTGTGGGAGCGACCCAAGCACTGGCAAACTGTCATCCCTTGTGCAACTCACGAAATTCACGGCTGTTTTCTCGCAAGCTTCACAGCTGTCTGTTTCCTCTGAGACACATCAACCACGCAAATGGGTGATGAGCTCAGAGAACCGATGGCAGCAACATAAGCAGGGAGGTTTGCAAAGAGACACACAGACTCACGATGTATCCTCATGTATTGTGTATAATCAGATAAATCATTGTGTCGCAGGTTAGTGATATATCAGAGGACAACTTTGTTGCTCAAACAGACCATTACCACATTTGGGAACTAAGAGTCTTGATGGGCACGCTTGACACACGCAAATCCCACTCAAGGCTCCTTTCGTGCTGAGGTTGGATGGCACCAATTGAAAGAATGGCATCCAAGCGAAGGCAAGAGGCGCACTGAACTTAGACTGATTGTTTTTTTCCGCATGTTTCCACTATAGGACCGCACAAGGCGGTGGCGGAAGTTTCAAAGATAGGAAGCTATAGGAGAGGTTTGGTTGTTGTGACGTCTGGCTGGCAGAGCGAACCCGCTCATGGAGCGACACGTGGTTGAGGGTCTGGGTCTCTCTATCTCTCTCTCTCTCTCTCTCTCTCTCTCTCTGTCTGTCTCCTGTTCGTCTCTTTGCAACTGTCATTATCTTTCTCTATCTGTCTGCTTGTCTCCTTGTCCATCCATTTCTTTGATGATCTATCTCCTTCTCTGTCTGTCTATGTCTCTATCTCTCTCTCTATTTATCTATCCATCCATCAATCGGTCTATCTTGCTGTCCTTCTATCTATCCATGTATCTACCTCTCCATCTTTCTACCATGCCATCTATGGATCCAGCCATCCATATTTTTATCTATTCATTTAAACATCCATCGATCTGTCCGTCTTTTTATGTATCAATCAAAGCGTCCTTCTATCCATCCCTGTATCCATGTGTCTTCCACTCTCTTTGTGTTAGAACCATTGAGGAGCAGCGACAATTTCTACCTTTTCGCACACCTTGATCTTCTGTCTCCTGACTCTTTCTCTTCTCTGACTCTTCCCACCTCTGCTCTTCCATCTGTCCATATTGTCGGAAGTTTGACTTCTAAACGTCCTTCGATGATTATCATGTATGATTCATGTAAATATTGATTAAATATTGCAATGGTGCTTTGGTGCTTGTGCCACTTCCTTGAACGCCTCAGTGAAGGCCTGCACGCGTTCTGAAAAAGAACTTGCGTGTTGCCAAAACTGCTCAGCACCGCATGAATCCTATGGGACATCATGGAAAGGTCGGACATAAAGTCTATCCAATCAATTGACATTGTTGGTTGTTCATTGAACGTGAACTACAGTGTTTTGACTGTCTTGACAGTGCCCGACCAGGACAATCTATACAATGGTATCGGCTCCACTAGGTACTCCTGTTCTGAGCTCCCATACAGCTGGATTTGTTGTCAATGGAGTCTGCAAGCGAGTCATCTAGCGGACCATGAATTGATGAAATTGACCACAGGCCAGGAAAAGCTTTTGGGTTTTGCAGCCCGGCCAAAAGTAGCCAAAGAAGCTCGTAAGGCTCCTTCGACGAGTCATATAAACAAGGTATGCAAGTTAAACGGAAGGTTTTTACAAGATCAAAGAATCAAAGGATCAGAGTCAAAGGGTTTGTGCACACATCGCTCCGCCATGGCTGTGAGCCGCTTTGTCAACTTGGTCACATGACATAAACCCACCATGAGAAAAAGCTTCAAGCAATCAAGTTCAGAAACTGCTGCTTCATGTTGCTTATATAACTTATATAACTCACTCGTAAGTGTTTAGAAAGTGACTTGCTTCTGGGACCTTTCGGATAAAGGCTGACCAAGTCTTCAAATGCAGTCAAGCCAAGCAATTTCATCGGCTTCAAACTTCGTCCAAGTTGCACATCGAGGTTCAAAAATTTTGGATAGCACGAATCATGAACCTCTGAGTCGATGCCTTTGCAGAAGTTTAGCATGGGAAAAAAACAAAAAAAAACAAAAAAACAAGAATATATCATAGGCTTCAATCCGTTCCAAGACATGTTAGTAGTACATATTATATGTATATAGTATATACATATACTGTATCATATACTATAAATAAATGTATGAAAATGTATGAATAATATTGAAAGGTGTCAAAAGTTTCCGGTTGTTTCCGCTTCGTATGCGAGGGGGATGAAGGCTACTGCCAACTGTACAAGTTGCTGAGAGTTGCTGAGGCAGAGGGCACAGGCCAACGCTCTAGGCCGGAACCTTGTACTCCAGGGGAACCTGGCGATGACTCGAGATAGGACAAGATATGACAAGTAAAAATACAAATAAACACAGCTGCATTACTACAGCGGTAATACAGCTGTAATACAGATAATTCATGTAATTCGAGTAATGCGAAGCTTGTACCAATGGACTGCCACTGATTCTAGGGCTGCTACTGGTGCCTGCGCCCACTTCTTCCTTTCACTCTCATTTGCCAGCCTTTGCTCCGCACGCGTGTTGCGAACAGAACAGTGTTTCTGTGCCCACAAGTGCGCCACCTCAACTTCTGGGCATCCTTGTCAATCTCAAAAAGTGTGGATTCCGATACAACCTGGCAAAAGTTATGACAAGAGCAACTATGACAATTAAGAGCTATGACAAGAGCTATGACAAGAGCTGTACCATGCAACTCGCTGCCATCCACTGCAACTTGCTGCTTGCTCCAATAGTCTCCGCAAGCTCTGGGATGGGCCTCGATCAGAGTGGGAAGCGACACCTTGAATCTTCTCACCTGGCCGTCGCAATCTGACGATGTCCATCTGTATCCATGTCAATCCATTCAAATTCACGCAGGCCTTTCTGTGCAAGCTACATACCTCTTGTACAAGTCAAAATGACACGGCGGAAACACCATTGGAAACTGCGAAATCAGTTCCAGAGATGTCCATCCTTCAGGCTCCATATGCTGCCGCAAGAAGAGATCCTGCATCTAAACTTGGAAAACTCAAAAAACGGAGGTAAACTCAGTGAAGAATGGAATTATGCAAATTGCAGTTTACCTCCATGGATCCTCCAGACACCAAAACAAGTTGCAAGGTGAGGAGACTTCGTGGCATCGCAAGACATGACACGGATTCAAGTTCAGAGACAGGCTGTGAAATGGACAAGCGGGAGACAACAGGGAGACAAGTCGCGTATAGTTTCTGAATCGGGCAATGATCCAAGTGAAATCCGCAGTCATTTAGACAGAGATAGACAGAGACACAAAATGACACAAACCCAGAGACAAAGAACAAATCTCGAGTCCGATGGATCCACCCAACCAAGTTCAACCAAGTTCAACCAAGAGTTTACAAACTTTTACAAAATCCTCTACAATCTGTGCAGAAATGCCCATTTTGGGAAGAGGATGTGGCATTGAAATGCATTGAAAGGATGTGGCATTAAAACCACCACGTCCTTGCACAGGTTGTTCGTGGAGAAGTAGAATTCCACCTGACTCCTGGCACATATGGAGCTTTTCCAAGCATCCCTAGTCCTCATCCTGGATATTCATGAAATTTCATGAATATCCTGGCATCTTGGAAGCTTGGAAGCTTGGTTTAGAATGTGCCTGTCCAAACACACTCTTACTTCAAGATGATTCTTATTACACAAGATGTTTTCAAGTATGTCCCTTTTTGTAGTAGCATCTCGCTTGGCTGAAGAACACCGAATTCCTTTTGGTAAATTCTCTCCGTGTTTCACCTTGTTTTTTGGTTGCTGACTCGCCGCTCTCAACGGTATTTGTTTTCTTTGTATTTGTGGTGTGCGGGGGTGCCACATTCAACTTGCAGGCACAATGGATGCCATAAACATCCCGGCGGAAGGGAAACCGCGCAAGCGTTTTGATTGGTTGCTTCCAGGAGAGTCACAATCACCTGTAATTTACAGTATAAAATGGTCTTCCGATCAGTTTGGATAACTGAATTTGGGTTAAAAAAAGTGGATGCAAAATCTATTGATTTTTAACAAATCCAGGTAAACATCATGTGCATCAGACGTGGATGCGCAGATTTTTTTCACACTCTTCGTCGGCTCAGCGATCACAGAGATCTCAGCAGCGTAGCAACATGTCACGTAGTAAACGATCCCAGAGATCTCAGCAGCGTAGCAACATGTAACGTAGTAAACGATCCCAGAGATCTCAGCAGCGTAGCAACATGTCACGTAATAAACGATCCCAAGGATCTCAGCAGCGTAGCAACCTGTAACGTAGTAAAAGATCCCAGAGATCTCAGCAGCGTAGCAACCTGTAACATAGTAAGAAGTCCCAAGGATCTCAGCAGCGTAGCAACATGTAACGTAGGAAACTATCTCAGAGATACCAGCAGCGTAGCAACCTGTAACGTAGTAAAAGATCCCAGAGATCTCAGCAGCGTAGCAACCTGTAACGTAGGAAACTATCTCAGAGATACCAGCAGCGTAGCAACCTGTAACGTAGTAAAAGATCCCAGAGATCTCAGCAGCGTAGCAACCTGTAACGTAGGAAACTATCTCAGAGATACCAGCAGCGTAGCAACCTGTAACGTAGTAAAAGATCCCAGAGATCTCAGCAGCGTAGCAACCTGTAACGTAGTAAGAAAGTCCCAAGGATCTCAGCAGCGTAGCAACATGTAACGTAGGAAAACTATCTCAGAGATACCAGCAGCGTAGCAACATGTAACGTAGTAAGAGATCCCAGAGATCTTAGCAACATCGCAATATATCCTGTACGAAGCACAAGGAACGTTAACATGCCCCCCCACCCCACCCCACCCCAACCCCAACCCTCACTAACATGGCAATATATCCTGTACGAAGTACGAGGAACGTTAACATGCCCCCCCACCCCAACCCACACTAGAGATCTCAGCAGCGCAGCAACACGTAACGTAGTAAAAGATCCCAGAGATCTTAGCAACATGGCAATATATCATGTACGAAGTACAAGGAACGTTAACATGCCCCCCCACCCCACCCCAACCCCAAGACAAAGAGCAATACTCAAAAAAGAAGCAAAACGCACGTACGGTTTTCCTGCCGTAGGCATAAACATGACCTTGTTCAGTTGCACCTGCAGTGCATGCTATGCTAAAGAGTTGCTACATGGCCGAATGTGTTCAAGGGTGTTGGGTTTGTTTTTCCGTTTTGTTTGTTTGTAATAGGTTCTTTTCAGGGCTGTTTCAATGGAGGTATATCCCAGCCATTGTCGGTTCCCTTATGGCAGAGTTGCTGGAGCTTGGTGGTGACTAGGATAGAAGAAATAAAATGAAGATACCAAGATGATGACTAGGGGCAAACTACATTTTGGGCAAATGATTAGAACCTCACAACCATCCAGCCATCAATTACATCGATTACGGATAAGGAAAAGAAACGCATAAAATCACAAAGAAACTTGTGTTAAGCTTAGAATTCGATAATTGACCCCAGTATAAAGTTGATAAAAAGGAAAATGCAAGGCCAAAACTCAATCTTTCAAAGGGTCACAAGACATGGTGCTTTTTGTCTCAACGAAACCTCATGTTCGAAAAGTTCATCTGCAAACGCAGGGTGAGATGCACACAGAAACCACCTGCCTGTGTGAAATGAATCAAAAACCCTGATAAAATCATATAATATGTAATTCAGAGAAGGTAGTCACACAAAATATCAATGACACTTCAGAACAGCTCTTCTATTTCAAATCCTTTACGCTGAGAAAGCAGGAGAATGCCACCTCAGCCTATCTCGCCCATCTTCTGAGAGCTGCTCATCTCCCTGCACCACAACGATCCAACGGCGTCAACATCTGACATCGTTGCTGACATGTGCAATATGAGACCTCTGCATTGCAATAAGGCTCCTTGAGGTTCACTGCTGCAGCCAACGGGTCCAGCACATTCTGGTGAAAACCTGAATCCCAAAATCGTCCTTCCAGATTTACCATCTTGCTGCATCTTGCTGCATAGTGCGCAGCGTAAGGACTGTCAAAGAGGTCACTGTCCAAGAACTCACTTGAGACCAGCACCCTTTTGTCCTCCCTTCCGGCCTCCGCTTCAGAAACGCGTGAGGCCACATGATTAAACGCCAACAGCATCTCACATCACTCACTTACGAAATAGGGAAACACAAAAAAGACGGCACTTGAGACTTGCCCTTTTGTTACTTTTGTTGCCCTTTTGCTGTTCTTTCTGAGCTTTTCGTTCCTGCTGCTTTCGCCCTTGCTTGAAGCTGTGCTGCCTGGATCGCCTGCAAGTCCAGAAAGCTGTGGGAAGGGGAATGCTTTAGAAACTCACTCGAAACTCATGTGTGGAATTCCTCGGGTTTCACAACTTGGATCAGTGTCTGTGTGGCGCACCCGAGCGCTCTGGGCAGCAGCCATCTGAGAGTAGACTTGGTAAGGGTTGTAGCCTGTCGCCCCGCAAGCACAGCAAAGACAAGAACAAATCAAATGAAATGTGAAGCTGACACACACATGACACACAACTCCAGCGAAGACGAACGCAGGAGTTTCAAAGCTGACAGGCACCTGGATAAGCTGGATAGCCTGACCAAATGATTCAAGATTGCTTGCTGTCAATGAACGAGTGTAAAATGCAGTCGCAGTGCACCTTGATATCCATAGTATCCAGGGTATCCGACACCTTCAAGTTTCAAAGCTGCCCTGTCGATGCTCTGGGGACTCACAGTTGACAACACAAGTTCATGCCAAGTTGCCAAATGGGTATGGATAGCCGAGCGGAGCCTTAGTTCCACATCACTCGAACTTGATGCAGCACACAGATTTTTCGGATTGAATCAGTGCTGTTCAACTCAGACCACCGGCTGAGAGTGATGCCCCAGATGGAGTACCATCTTTGCTTCCCTGCATTGCACTGCACCGCTGGCATGAATTTGTTGAAGGATTGGCTGCGGGCAAAGGTTGCACCGTCACAGGGCCAGGCCTTCCGGTTTGCCTTGGCCTGATCCACCATCCACCATCAACACTTTGTTCTGAAATGGTATGTTTTTGTTCATCTCAAGTCGGCCCGGCCGCCATGGCCATGACATGCTTTAAACAAATCCCAAACTTGGGCACATCTTGCCACACCTTCGATTTCGGCTCAGCTTCTGCCTCACGTCAGCTACACAGGGAAATGATGGAGAAATTCAAGATTCATCCAGGAAACAGGTTCGTGTGATGCTGAAAGGAATGTGGAAAGGAAGTGCTTTTCTCTCCAGTCAAAAGCAGAGAAACTCTGCTGCCTTGTCACCAGCACTTGCTTCCTGAGTCTCTTGGAGTGTGACAAGAGAGGTCATAAAGCAATAGCAAACAAAAACCTGATGCACTCGGAGGACCAGAAATGAAGAAAATTATGGTTCTGCTATAAGCGTTTGATGGACTAGGAATCAGTGTCAAACAAAGGCAGTCAGATCAGTCAGATTATTATGTATCTGCAGATTCTGCTATGTAGGCTATGTAATATCCCAAGATATCCCAAGACTGTGTGACCGACATTCGCATCATCTGTCGCCTTCTCCTTGCCACCAATGGACCAATTGGCACCAATTTGCGCTAGCAGCCCCATTGCAGTGTCTCAGTGTGTCATTCTGCGTGGTTCTATGCGCTTTTGTGTGATTCTTCCTTTCCCAAAATCAGTTTTACATCTTGCCTTCTTGTCTGCTGTTGCAATCATCGGAAACTTCTGCACCTGGACATGGCAAGACTCCCTTGCATCAGGCTACACAACTTGTACAGCCTCGCCATCATCCCCGATGAGGATTGGAAGCCTGAACATCTGCATGCCACAAGACACAAAGAGACAAAAAGCATTGTCAGATCATGAAATTTACGAAATGAACTATAAGAAATTCTTGAGGGATCTACTAAGATCCACTAAGATGCATAGAAGATCCTAGAAGATCATAGAAGTGCATCTAGAATATGCATAGAACAGACTGATAGGTCCGATAGGTCCGATAGGTCCAGGCCAAGCAGCCATGCACAGTCGTCTTTCTCGTCTTTCTTTTCCGCGGCCAACAGCTGGCAACCTCCCATAACGACAAAACCGGCCAGGATCATCAGGATGTAACGTTTGTTTTGCATGTATGCTGACCATATACTGAGACAAGCATCGTAACGATAACCAAGCATCGCACGTTCGATGCTTTTCTCCAGGCTTTCCATTCGAGCTGGGGAAATTTCACAAGCCTCAGATTTGCAAAAACACAAGGGCAAGCCGCAAAAAGCCAAGGCGCGTAGCACAATGCCTGCCAAACTAGGGTGCAACTCAGTGCGGCGGATCGGTGGGACTGTGGCTTTGATGTACATTAGAGCGTGTCTGATGCTGTTGGAATGGTTACTGGTGTGCTTGCTACTGTAATTTTCTTTCAGCTGTTATTCCTATGGCGTTTGACGGTTGGTTGATTTTTAGAGCACGGTGTTTTGTGTATCAACCCACAAATTGTTGTATGCAGCGCCTTCTGTATTTGTAGTTTCTCCCGTTTGCTGGAATAGTTGCCTTTTCCAGTAGGCTTGACAGTTTGTAGAACACGGATATGCTACACTGGATGTTACAATGTACGTGTTGCTGCAATCAATCTGTCGCTCTTGCAACGTTCGTGGTTAGGCTCGTCCACTGCTTCAACTGGATGTCTGGACACATTTCCAGAGCAGATTGCAAAATGTGTTTTTTTTCTTCTCCAAAAGTAAACAAGGGATATTGCATCGACACCAGGAGAATTGAACAAGCCCTGCATCGACAGTTGCATATCTACCTGTTCTATCTGTGGCTATGTTTGGCTGCACCACCCACACATTTACGCAGCTATCTAAGTTGGTCATCGACCTGAAAATCCGTTCATGGGCTAAATCAGCAGCAGCGGCAGCAGTGGCGGCAGCAGCAGCAGGAACAACTGCAGCAGGAACAGCTGCACCCATTGGCACAAAAACAATTGCGAATGACAAGAACAAAGCAATCGTAACAACAAACATTCACAAACAGAAACATGCTTCGATAAATTCTTGGAGAAGCTTGTGTCAACCAGCCATCAAGCTAATCAATCAAAACAATCAGGGCACATCATCAAACAACTAAGCCAGCAAACACACAACAAAACGCACGCGCACATGTACAACCACAATCTCAACCACATGACACCTGCGAAACTAATGGATCTTTCTCCTGTACAACCTACAGTGGTCAGTTCACACCAGTTGACTCAGCAGTCAGTTAACTTTTGCTCAGTGTAGTTTGAGCCAGAAGTCAGCGTTGGCAGTCTGTCACTTGACCTGGCAAAAGTGCGCAGTGAACAGTGTCATCTCAACACTCCCCCTTGGATGCAGTGTCATACAATGCATCCATGAATTTAAAAACGCAGTGCCTACTCGACAGTATATGGCTTTAAGACAGTGGGTAAATCCAGTCAGTATACCAGTAGTACCGCACAAGGCGGTGGCGGAAGTTTCAATGATAGGAAACCTATAGGAGAGATTGGTTGTTGTGAATCAGGGATGGCAGAGCGAATCCACTGATGGACCGAAAGGTGCTTGAGGTCTCCTCTCTTTCTCTCTCTTTCTCTGACTATCTACCCACCTACCAACCTATCTTCTATGTATCTATCTATCAATCGATCTATCTATCCCTCTCTCTCTCTCTCTTTCATCTAATTACCTATCTATCTTTCTTTCTTTCTCTTTCTTTCTTTCTTTCTTTATCTTTCTTTCTTTCTCTTTCTTTCTTTCTTTCTTTCTTTCTGTCTTTCTTTCTTTCTTTCTTTCTCTTTCTTTCTTTCTTTCTTTCTCTTTCTTTCTTTATTTCTCTTTCTTTCTTTCTTTCTTTCTTTCTTTCTTCTTTCTTTCTTTCGTTCTTTCTTTCTTTCTTTCTTTCTCTTTCTTTCTTTCTTTCCTTCTTTCTTTCTTTCTTTCTTCCTTCCTTCCTTCCTTTCTTTCTTTCTCTCTCTCTCTGTCTCTCTCTCTCTCTATTTCTCTATCTCTCTCTCTCTCTCTATTTCTCTATCTCTCTCTCTCTCTATTTCTCTATCTCTCTGTGTGTCTATCTATCTATTTCTCTATCTATCTTGGTATCTCACTGTCTCACTATGTGTCTATTTGTCAATCTGTCTATCTATCTATCTATCTATCTATCTATTTATCTAGCTGTCTATCTATCTATTTGTCTATCTGTCTATCTGCCTTTCTTTCCATCTGTCTATCTATCTGTCTATCTCTCTATCTGTCCATCTATCTCTCTATCTATCTGTCTATCTCTCCAACTATCTATTCTCTCTATCTATCTGTCTGTCTATGTATCTATCTATCTATCTATCTGTCTATTTAACTATCTACCTCTTTATCTATCTATCTTGGTATCTAACTATCCGTCTGTAAACCTATGTATCTGTCTGTCTATCTCTCTGTCTATCTATCTATCTATCTATCTATTTATCTAGCTGTCTCTCTATCTATTTGTCTATCTGTCTCTCTTTCTATCTGTCTATCTATCTGTCTATCTCTCTGTCTATCTATCTATCTATCTTTCTATCTATCTATCTGTCTATCCATCTATCTATCTTTCTATCTATCTATCTATCTATCTCTCTATTTCTCTATCTCTCTGTCTGTCTGTCTGTCTGTCTGTCTATCTATCTATCTATCTATCTATCTGCAAGATCAAAAACTAAGAAACCACGGAAAATGCATCTTTGCAGATCCTCTTCAAATGTCCCACGCGTAGCATGGTTTTTGGAAATGAGACAAAACCCTCAAGTTTTGCTCATTCTTGACAAAGTGCACAATCTCTTGCGCCTGCCACGCGAAACGACATCTGAACCTCCAAAAGTGCCGCGAACATGTGGTATTTTGTACATTTTCACTTCGACATGTGCTTCGCGCCACAACGGCGTGCACCTTTTCCACATCGGAACTTCCAAAAGTGGCGCGAACATGTGGTGCTTTGTACATTTTCACTTCGAAATGTGCTTCGCGCCACAACGGCGTGCACTTTTTCCACATCGGAACTTCCAAAAGTGGTCCGAACGTGGTGTGTTTTGTACATTTTGGCTTCGAAACGTGCTTCGCGCCACAACGGCGTGCACTTTTTCGACATCTCAACTGCCAAAAGTGGTCCGAGAATGGTGTGCTTTGTACATTTTGACTTGCAAATGTGCTTCGCGCCACAACGGCGTGCAATTTCTTCTTACTCTTTCTCTTCTACTCTTCTTTCTTCTAATCTTTCTCTTCTCTCTGCCTCTTCCCTGCTCTGCTTTTCATCTGTTCATATTGTTGGAAGTTTGACTTCTAAACTTCCTTCGACCATTATACCAGTCACTTCAGCTCACTGAAAACAAGGTGCAGCTCTCAGTTCTCAGAAACTTCCATCTCCACAGCGATGCTTTCAGTGATCCCATCAACGGTGATCTTGTACTTCTTGGCAGTGCCAGTTGAGACAACAGCCTGAGTGTTCTCAGTGGTATCATCGTCAGTGCTATAAAGGAGATCCGGTGGGAATGCCTCAGTGGGGTGCCAAACTTCTTCAGCACTGATACTGGAAGGGCCAAATGTCCAAGCAGCCCACGGCAGTGCAATCCAAATGGCACAGTTCCATTGAGTTCGTGTCGGACTTTAGTCAGTTGATTCAGTGTGATGCTCAGCTGAAATGCCGCACCAAATACAGTTCAGCTTCAGTGAAGACAAAGTCCTCATCCAGTGAATCAGTGGACAGGCAGTGATCCAACCATTGACGATTGAAAGTCAACAGTCGACGGTGCCCAGTTTCAATGGCGGAGGTCTCCGCAGCATCAGCATTGTGCACAGTGCGTCCAGTGATCCTTGTCAGTGAGGGATTGATGCGCACCAAAAACAGTGGTTCAGCCAGTTGCTCATCAGTCAAAGTGATTGAACTGGCCCAATGCATTTGCAACAGTCGCAAAAGTGCAGACCTTGCAGTGTACCAACAGTTCACCTGGGCATTCGTGAACAGTTCAGGCGAAATGCGACCAGCGGTAATGATCGCAGTGCCAACGCTCTGCGGCACGGCAAACATCACAGTGTCGACTGGTCATTGGCCAGTGGCAGTCCCTTCAGCATCGGCTCAGGAACATGACCAAATGGACAGTCGCAGTGCTGTAGAGCTCATACTCAGTGCGAGTGTAGCTCCAGTGAGGCCGGGCGCCTCAGGGCCAGTGAAATCTTCCCAGTGACTCGCAGTGCGACGGGATCTCACCAACTGCAGCGACCACAGGTTGCACTTGTCATTGGGCAGTGCCATACGCAGACAGTAAAGACCAGCAGTCTGCAATCCAGCAGTCATCACTCGTGGCCGCCAGTGAGGATAAGTGGAAGTCAGCGCAGTCTTCTCACAGCGGTTCCTCAAAGTGATCATCTGGTTGCACAGTGAAGTGCACTGCATCTCAAGTGTGCCAGTCAGCTCGAAGTCAGGCACAGCGTTGAATGCAGACATCTGCCGTTGACTCTCAATGTGCACAGTCAACAGATCAGTGACCTGAAGTACAGCACTCCATCCAGTACAGTCTATCAACAGCGAGGCTGTGAACATCAGAGCTAGCAGCAGCAGTAGTTGCCATCCTCAAGGCCAGTGAGTCTGGTAGGAGAGCTTAGTGCACAGTGCGGCCAGAGACACTAAGTGAGCCAAAAATGCAGTCGAAGCTCAGTGCTTCAATTTCCATCATCACAGGCTCAAAAAACTGTGGCTTCAGGCGTTCAGTAAATCAAACGCAGTGACAAAAACGTGCACGACAGTGGCTTTGGAAACAGTTCATGCAAAAAACGGCTATACAGTGAGTGAGTGGCATGCAGTGCCCCCCCTTAAGTTTACAGAGGGTGCAGTTATCTATTCTCAATACGTGCCAGTGTTTTAAACAGTTAGCTTGGTGAAATCGATGCTGGTAGTATCTACAGTTCAAACCAGTCAAAAGAAGTGCAAACACACAATTTCTTTAAATGCGAAATCAACCGTTCAGAACCAAGATACTTAATGAGAACATCGGCACAGTTTACCTTAGTTCCTACCTTTCTCAGTTTGATGCTACCTTTCCCTATAAAGGAATCTCAGTTCTACATGCTTTGTCTTTTTTGTTTGACCCAAACCTAGTGGCCATGCTTTTCCCGGCAGTTGAAACAGTGTGTATGGTAATGTTCACCGATCTGGCGAGTTTTGCTTCAATGACCAGGTTTCGAACAAAGAGTGCTTCACTCACTAGTGCCTTGTCCTATAGCGTACAGTTCAGCTTCACCGGAACTCAGCGCAATTGTTCCTTGTGTCCGGCTTCCGAAAGACACAGTTGAGTTCAACAGTTGAACAACAGTTCCACTAGTACTCTTTCGAGTAGTCCTACAACCAGCCCAGTCAGGGTCAACCTAGAAGTCAATGTCAAGTTGACAGTCTGAGTTTGAAAGAGTCACGCTTGGGCAAATTCTTTGACAGTACTCCTTAGTTCCAGCGATGTACTTGGTAGATGTTTCATCTCAGTGACACTCTCAGTGGTTGGTGCAGTCAAATCTCGCGAAAGCTCCTCAGTGGAATACGCTATGTCGGGTCAAATCAGTGTAAGCCAGAATAGTTTACCAACTATTGCTCTGTACCTTTTGTGATCGCTCGCATTCAGTGGTTGAGGCACAAAGTTTGGCTTGGCAATGCTTCCGGCAGTGCTCACAGGTCTTCCAGCATTTCTTTTCACGCGCGAAGTGGGCATAGTGATGTCAATGCTATTGTCGTTGTGTCTCAGTGTCCTTCCCAGAAAGTTGAAGGAAGTCTGTGGTTTCAGTTCACCTTCTACATTCAGAAGAACCTCGTTTGACAGTTGTTCGGTGAACGTCTTGATACGAGCAGGGTCTCCGCAAACAAGAAGATCATCAACGTAACACAGTACATACAGTTCCTTGGAGTAATGACAGTACAAGTTCGGATCAGTCTTGCACCGCTGAAAGCCAAGCGATGCCATGGTCTTGGCAAAGTGCGTTTGCCAAAGTGCAGGTGCTTGCTTCAGTCCATACATAGCTCGTTTCAACAACCACAGGCAGTTATTCTCGGGATAGAATTCAAAAGGTGGTCGCATGAACAGTCGCTCAATCGTAGGTGCGTGAAAGAATGCAGTGGAGATGTCACAAGTGATCATTGACCCACAGCGGGACAGTGACAGAAGGAGAAGGACAGTGACAGAAGGAGAAGGAGAAGGGTGACAAGAGTAGGAGTTGACGCGAAGGTGTCGTCAGTGTCCATATCTTCTTGAAAACATCCATGCGCGACTAACCTACAGCGTACCTTATGCGGCGTTTCCCTGCGCATCACCCATCTACAGTCTGCCGCGTTGTCTATGTCATCTTGTGAACAATGTTCCAGTGGATTTTCATCAAAAACATCGAAACCTCTCATGAATGACATCTCGGTCATCATTCCTTCCTTCAGCTCATCTTCATTAAACTCAGGATCTACATGCATCAGACATGGTTCAGTGAGACCGGGTTCCTGTTTAATCTCTTCAGTGTCTTCGTTTGTTTCAACGGGAATCACCGTGTCACCAACAGTCACGGCTGAAACGCATGCAGTGAACTGAGTCAGGTCTGTCAGTGCTCCTATGGCTTGTCGTTGGGTTTCCTGAATGTCTTCGTCTGACAAGTCATCTTCAGTTTGACGTTTTGGACTTCTAATCCGTTCAGTGGCAGGCAGTCTGACGCCATTCCCTTCTTCAGGCAGTGATTTCAGTGATTCAACGTCTTCAGCTACAGAAGGACTGTAATCATCCGGTGCAGGTTCAGCATGCTCAGTCTGTTCAAACGCAGTGTCCGTGTTTTCCCGTTCAAGTCCAGGTGGTTCACGGATTCGTCCTGAAACATGTAATGACGGAGGAAGAACAAAAGTAGTGTCAGTGGTATCTTTACCGCTAGGGTCCCATGGTGTCACGTTCAGTGCTTTGTGCAGTGTCTTGCTCCTTTCTTTGATGGGACACCTCTACGCACAGTACGAACCTTATGCATAGAACCATTTCCAAACACCAGTGATTCGTCCACTTCAGTGTCCTTTCCTAACCAAATGCCCTCGTGCCAAGCAGTGCCAGCTTTATGTCTCAAGTTTCAAGGCAGTTTGAACAGAACAGTTTCTCCAAACTCGCAAAGTCCAGTTTGATAGTCCTTTTTCCATCTGCGAAAATAAGATGTTTGTCCGTCCTCGTGAGTCATGTAGCGGTTCAATAAGAATTGGCATGTTTCACAATCCAAGGAAAGATGCAGTCATTCGAGGTAATCTCAGTACCTAAGTGTTCTTGAAGTTGCAGTCGAAGGGTCCTTGCTTGTCCGAGCAGTGTTTGCTGCAATCTACCAATTGAACCGTGTGCTTGTTTCCAGTCCTTAAGTGTTGCTCTAGTACTCATGCCTCCGAGTTGGTTCACAGTTTCAGTGACAAGTGCTTTCAGTGATGGCTCCTTGTCATATTGGAGGATACCACAGGTTCTACCAGTTTCATAGATGAATTTCTTCAGTTCAGCTGTGCTGTATGCTTGTCTGCCTTTGCTTGGTACAACAGCTGACATAGACAAACCAACTTGAACATCAATTGCGTTCAGGACAGTTTGTTGTTGAATACCTTGTCCAGTGGAAACAAATAAGTAGTCAACTTGAATTACCGGCTGTCTGTCAGTGTTTCGCTTGCTTTGTCGTTCCTTGCCTTTGGCACGAACACGGTGTTCACACCATGACCTATACGGAAGGTGTGTCAGGTTGTGTTGTGCTTGCTGTTGTTCAGTGGGCTCGTTTGGTCTAGGCCCTATGCAATGCTTTTGCTTCACGCGCTGCTTTGTCGTGTGTCTCTTGTTCAACAGTGATTTCAAGTTCAGCACGTTGAAACACAGTCAAGCCAGCCCAGTGCGGTGACAAAGGTGGTTCAGTCCGATCATCAGTTCTCCACACATCAGTGTGCACTTTTCCATTCCAATCATCACTACTGGTACGAAAGAAAACAGTCATTCTCAGTTGTCCTACGTCAGAGTGGTCTAGTCCCGTATCGTCTGGAACAAACAGGTCTCTTCGTGCTGTGATATGAAAACGTATCCAGGCAACAGGTGTGTGAAGCCAGTGATCTGAGGTTCTCACTTCTGCAGCTTCAGGAAATGGTGCTAGTAGTAGACTCTGCACTCTTCATCATCCCAGTTCTTGCAGTAATACTTATAGCATCTCCGATACTGTGTGGGAGTGAGCGCGCTGCATTGTCAGTGCTGCTTGGCGGTTTGTCAATTTCTTGAATCTCAACTTCAGCCGTCTCAGGTCCCTGAGATGTCGTCTCGTCTTAGTATATGCTCGTTTCAGCGGTGGTTGAAGCTTCAAGTGAAAAAACAGTTCTGCCTTTCCAATGTTCTTTCTTCATTTCTGCCTGGTTGGTCAGTTTGTTGAATTTCTCAGTGACAGTTTCAACTTTCAACTCTACCTTCTCCAAAGTCAAGGGTGGTGACTCTGGTGCCGCTGGGCCTGTTCAGTGGAACAGGGCAGTCTGACCTGTTAGGCATGAACATCAATCTTCTAGGTCGTTTGTGAATTCTTGTCAGTGTGCCCCCTGCTTCATCCAATTGCCAGTAATCAGTATGATAGTGAGTTCATGGATGGATAACATTGATAAGTACTTTGAGTTGATCAACTGCATCAGTGCTTGTGTCGTGTTGTGGTATGCCAGCGCAGTTAGGATCAACACCAAGTGTGTTCATGTACTCATCCAGCGCACGTTCATATGGATTCATGACAGTCTCATCGTATGCCACAATGCATGGTGTGAGGTACAACAGTGTGCCATGCCGGGTAACGTTGACAGTTTCTTCTTGGGGCGTCAAAAGTTTCATACAATCTTTACCAGTCCAATAACCTTGAAATAACAGTCTGGCAACAGAAACCAAACAAAAAGGAATATCACAAACGTAGTAGTTGACAAACAGTGTCACTCCATCGGCGCTGTACTTGATCAGTTTCTTTCCCAAAATAGTCAAGGGTTTTCCAGCCACGCTTCTTTGTCTTGGTGGGTCATTACCTACCGGCAGCAGTGGATAATCAGGTGCATAATCAGCAGGACAGCAGTGAGCAGCAGCTCCAGAGTCGAAAAGGATCCAGTGTTCATGCGAAGGTACAGCCGCGACACACTTGTCATGGTATGTACTCAGTGCGTCATGATACGAATCAGTGTGACACTAGCGGTCTGGAAAATCCAGTCTCCCCGAAACAGTCTCAGGAATCGGTGGTAGTCCTTGAGGTCTACCAAAAGAATTCAAAACAGCAAGAGTTGCAATGCAGGCTCCAAACAGTCCAGGCTTTGTGTGAACAGTGCGTGTCCTAGAGGCAGTGGCTTTAGGAACAGCTCTGATATGTGAGTGTGTCTCACCACTCTCAACGTCAGTCACATTCACACTTTGTACAGCTGAAACGTTTGGTGCAGCGGCAGTGCTCTGCGTGGAAGCTGCAGTTCTTCCATCAGTGAGCTGGACGATACATGTGGCTGAGGTTGGGACAGTGCTGGAGACGCAGTGGGAGCATGTTCGGTCTCCCAAGTCCAGTGGTCATACCAACCGTCAGTCTGCCAGTCGGAGTCATCATAACCGCATGGGTCCTGGTAGTAGTCACAGCAATCACCGTAACTCCAGTCATCATACGTCAGTGCTCCTGTCCGGTCAGTCCAGTCACTCTCTTCATCATAGTACTCATATTCTTCATTCTGAATGTCTTGAGTTAGTTTCATCATACACAGTGGCAACATTCTTACAGTCCTTTGACAAGCGTCCATGTTGTCCACAGTTCCAACGCTTTGGTCTTTCCTTTCCTTTTCCTTTGTACACAGTGGGGGCCGATTTGCTGCTTCCAGTGTTGCCTTTTCGGCCATAGGGGAACAGTTTTCCGCTTCCTTTGCCTTTCAGTGTTCCAAAGGGGGGCATTTTTCCTCTTCCTTTGCCTTTCGGTGGGGGCCCATCTTGCCCCTTCCACCTTTTCGCCATAGTGCAGGTCCTCCAGTGTCCGTTGGCCTATAGTTTGCTACAGGTCTTGATTGATAGTACGCAGTGATCACCTCTTTGGGTGTCCATTGTCCTCACATTCAGTCTCAGGTGTTGTTGCAGTGCTCCAGTTGTCTTGCTCAGCAGTGTCGCTACTAGGTTGTTATCGGGCAGTGGTGCTCCGGCTTGTCTTTCATACCTAGCCTTCAGTGTTTCCAATTCAAAGTAGTCTTGTTCAAAGTGGTCGGGGCGAAACCTGAATTCCAGTTTCTTTGTTAGCAAACTGATTTCCAGTGCAGTTCGTGGTAGTGAAAACTTTCGACTCAGTATGCGCCATGTCTCAAAACCATTCAGTTCAACATTTCCCCTTACTACCAGTCTGGCACTTTCAGTAGTCAGTTGGGCTAGCAAGTAGCGCAGCTGACGACTAAATCGAATTAAGCCAGTGTCAAAGAATTGTGGATTCTCAGCTTCCAGTGCCTCGAGTCTTTCATCAGCGATGACTGCAGCAACAGTCTCAACATTCTCCATCACTTCCGCTGCTTCAGTCTTGAACAGTTCTACGTACGATTTCACATACCAGCTCCAGTCTTCCCAGTGTTCTATCTTGCCAAAAAACTTGTCTGGCAGCGGGAGCTTGTTGTTTCCTCCAAGCGCGTTTCCATCTCTGAGTTGTGCCGTGTCTCAATTCTACTTCTCTACGGCCTCTACAGTTGTAGTAGGAGTCAGTGCTCCGCTACTTTGCGAAGCTAGTGGATCTTTCTCCTGTACAACCTACAGTGGTCAGTTCACACCAGTGGACTCAGCAGTCAGCTTACTTTTGCTCAGTGTGGCTTGAGCCAACAGTCAGTGTTGGCAGTCTGTCAGTTGACACGAGCAGAGTGCGCAGTGAACAGTGTCATCTCAGAAACACCCAACCAACCAACAGAACCAATAGACCACCAAGAGCATAGCCGCACCAAGACACCGAGACGATTACCGGTTGACAGAAGAATAGAGATAGACATAGACAACGACATTGAGTTAGACATAGATATGTAGACCGGTAGAGGGGGAGAGCTAGTCATTGACTACTTGGTCGCTGAGGGTATTCTGCCAAAAACGCCGTAGATTGTGCCATTTGCTAAGCATGCTACTTTCTCACCTTCAGCTTCTGGAAAGCAATCCACCACCTGCTTGTTCGCGAAATCCTGAGAAGAATTGTATCCAATGACATACACAGCTGCAACTATCCAACATTCTGAAAGAAGACATGAAAGACTACGGGGGGTAGATGCTCCATTCGGCCTCTGAGAATTTCTTTGCTGTCTCCACAGACTTGAAATTCACAAAGGCAAAGCCGCGGTTGCATGGTCCTGACGACTCTGACATGAACTTCTGAAGAGGGTCCAACAAGGAAGAATCTGACTTATGCATGATCAGCATTTATGCAGTCTTCGAATTCACAAGGGTGTGCAAATCAGCCAATCAACAAAATGTGTGAAAAATCACCAATTCAATCCCAGCAGTCCAGCCTTCACTTTGTGCGTCGGGCTTCTCAGGCAGGAACACAAAGTCGAAGTCCGAACCATATTTTCTGACAGGTGAACCAAAGTGACCAAAAGGTGAACCAGTGGATGACGAATGCAAGAGCCAAACTTACTTACTTGGCCAGTGTGCAATCCCTACGTACTTATCAGATTGAATGTTTGCACATATGATCCAGAACACGGTATACAAAGGAACCTAGAATGACTTAGATGTAGCACTTGCTGCATAGATGCAACGGGCTGTGATTTGTTTACGGAGCGCCTCTTCAGCAAATCCAAAAACTGCTCACGGGTGTACTTCAGAGGGACACCCCTGCGTCACGCCACGTCGCGCTCACAGGTGAATGTCCAAGCACGTTCATGTCCAAGCAAGCCCAAGGCTAGTGAATTGCAGCGCTGAGTCAGGGACCGCAACATGAGCAAGGTTTCCTTGCTGGCACTTGGCAGCAGGGAAGCAAGCATTGAAGGCGGAGCCTCATCTCAGAATCTTTTGAAACCAGGATTACTGTATCAGACATGACCTCCCATGCCTATACTCAGCACCACTCAAGTACCATGACTATAGTTTCTTCAAGAGTCATGCCTAGTGACACCCACGCTGCACCGACTGTCACAACCAATCAAAGCACCACCAGCAAGAAAATGTCATAACTCATGACTAAAGGTCATGTGCAAGTGCTGGTGGCAAACGCTCAGCTGCCACTGGAGGTCCCAACTCCTAGAACTGTTAGCACATGTTAGCAGTTAGCATTGTTAGATACGAGCACAAGAGAATCAAGAGTAAAGCAAGAATCTGGGTGCTCCGTTGCTTGTTTGTTTCACTGAGTTCCAAACAGGAGTTGCAACTGATGGGAAGGAGGTCGGAGCCGGAAAGTATGGTGGCGGCTTCATGAAGCCTGGAAAGCTGAGAAACTGCAGCTGAAGGGTTGATGCAACATGCTGCAGCATCTTCACAGCAAATCACCGTTGTAGTTTGACGTCTATCCATATTTAAATAATATTCATCCACCATCTACGTTGTTCGATTGAGAGCCTGTTGGTGTGCTTGGAGGAATGTATGGCGGAGTTGCCTTAGGCGGTTCGGCTCTCGAGGAATATCTGGACATTTCAAACATGGTTTCAGTTCTAGCCTGCACATTTCAGCCTGCATGACTCACTGCATAACGCACTGACTCACTGCACTCTTTCTCAACTTAGCTTCTCGCCGTCTTTTTGCTGTTGCGTCTTTTTTCCCCAGATACACCTGGATGCGCACACATGGAAAGCAAGAATGGCTCCACAACTTCACTCTCCGCAGCAGCCAGCCTGCAAATGCCTTGGAAAATGGAATTTCCTGCAAACACTGGAAGATATAACAAGAATTTGAAGACAAATCTGGAAGGTTGAGTCCATTGCAGACACTTCTCAGATCTCAGAATCGTTCTCTCTCAACTTCCTTTTCAGGCTTTTAGGCCGTCCTTGCCCGCATCGTCCAGGAACAGAGGTTGCCAATCAGGCCTGCAGATTTGTTAGTTGAGAGATGATGAGAGAAAATCTCCTACAGAACTAAAGCTCCAGCACAAGTCATCCTGAGAAAGACTTGCTGCACTGCATCTACTGGAGACAAATGTTCGCTGCATGTTTTTGTGTGTGTGTGTGGGTGTGTGGATGTATGGTGGATCTCAGAGGCTGGAGACCTTCCTATTGCCCGTTCGTTTAGTCAGACAGGCTTCACTTTCTTTGTACCATTGCCAAGTACAAGTGTTTAACTATCAGACTCAAAGCAAAGATGCAATCTCGTTTTCAATGGTCTTTCACTATGTGGACAATCTGCCCATCAAACAAAACAATGGCCTGTCCAACAGCTTTTCAATGAACTTCTCATCCCGAAGGTTCTCCATGTTCTGTTCCCGGCCCTGCACTCGTGCAAAAGAGACCTGCGAACAGGCAATTCAAAAATGACATTCAAAGTTCAAAGAGGTGTTTGACGTCCCATTCGACTCTCGAACCCAAAGGCACTTGCTCTACAGACAAAAGCCTCGGCAACCTTCGCACTGCCAAAACCAGGCAGGCACTGCCTCAGTTTTTTGAAAACAATTTGAACCAACTTGATTCAAAACAACTCGAAACATTCTGATGTGCAGTACATGTTGACATACATGCATACGTGGCAAACCCTACACACCTTTTTTCAAAACTCTGAGGCATGTACTTGGTCTTGGCCCCATGAAATTCTTGCATGAACCTCAGCTCCACCGAGCACCAAATGCAAGAAAAAAATCGAAATTCAAAGATGCCCAGAGGTTTATAACATCCTCATCTATTCAACCCCCTTCGCCTGGAGTCGTGAGGGTGGTTCATTCTGGTGCCTATGTCTAAGGATCGTAAATCGCATTGGAGTGCCTGCACCGAGGTTGCGATAGTGATTTGTCAGCAAATTTTCTCAATTTAAAAGCTTAGAAAAGTTTGCTGTGTGTAAAATGTTCTCTGTGTAAAAGTTTCTCGGCGTAAATGTTTCTCTGTGCAAGGGTTTCTCTGTGTAAAAGTTTCTCTGTGTATATGTTTCTCTGTGTAAAAGTTTGTTCTGTCTAAAAAATTTCTGTGAATAAAAGTTTCCCTAACTCTGTGTAAAGTTTCTCTGTGTAAAAGTTTGCTGTGTGTACAAGTTTCTGTGTGCAAAAGTTTCCCTGTGCAAAAGTTTACTGTGTCTAAACGTTTCTGTGTGTAAAAGCTGCTTGTATAAATGGTTCGCTGTGCAAGGGCTTCTCTGTGTAAAAGTTTCTCTGTGCAAAAGTTCGCTGTGTGTAAATGTTTTTGTGTGTGTGTAAAAGTTTCTCTGTGTAAATGCTTCTCTGTGCAAGAGTTTCCCTGTGTAAAAGTTTCTCTGTGCAAGAGTTTGCTGTGTGAAAAAGTTTGTGTGTGTAAAAGTTTCTCTGTGTAAATGTTTCTCTGTGCAAGGGTTTCCCTGTGTAAAAGTTTCTCTGTGTAAGAGCTGGTTGTGTGAAAACGTTTGTGTGTAAAAATTTCTGTGTGTAAAAGCTGGCAGTGTGTAAAGGCTTCTGTGTGTGTAAATGTTTCTCTGCGTTAAGGTTTATCTGTGTAAGAGTTTGCTCTGTGTAAAAGCTGGCCGTGTGTAAAAGTTTGCTGTGTGTAAAAGTTTCTGTGTATAAAAGATTCTCTGTCTGAAAGATTGCTGTGTGCAAAAGTTTCGCTGTGTAGAAGCCTTTTTGTTCAGGGGTTTCTCTGCGTGAAGGCTTGCTGTGTGTAAAAGCTTCCGTGTGTAAAGGCTTCTCTGTGTAAAAGTTTCTGTTTGTAAGAGTTTTCTCTGTGTGAAGAAGTTTCTCTGTGTAAAAGCTTTTCTGTTTACAGTGTAGACGCTTTTTTGTGTGACAGCTTGCTGTGTGTAGAAGCTTCTCTGTGTAAAGGTTTTGCGTGTAAAAGTTTCTGTGCGTGAAAGTTCGCTGTGTGTAAAGGCTTGGCTGTGTCAAGGCTTCTCTGTATAAAGTTTTTCTGTGCAAAAGCTTCTGTGTGCAAAAAAAAACTTCTGTGTGTAAAAGCTTGTGTGTGTAAAAGTTTGCTGTGTGTAAAAGCTTCTGTGTGCAAAAGATTCTCTGGGTAAAAGCTTGCTGTGTGCAAAAGCTTGCTTTGTGGAAAAGTTTGCTGTGGATAAAAGCTTCCCTGTTTCTGTGAAAAAGGTTCTCTGTATACAAGCTTCTCTGTGCAAAAGTTTGCTGTGTGTAAATGCTTCTCTGTGTCAAATCTTCTCTGTGGAAAGCGTAGGGGTCGCTTGCTTTGGCGCCGAGATCCGTTTTTGGAGCAGATTTTCAGCTAGAGGAGAGCGGAGATGATTTGAGAGTGCGCTGAGAAGAGCTGAGACTGTCAAGAGCTGAGATCAGCAGAGAAGGTGTGAGAGGAGCTTAGAAGATGTGAGAAGAGGGAAGAGGAGATGAGAAGACGTAAGATGAGCTGACATGAGCTGCGGAGAGCTGAGAAGAGTTGAGAAGAGCTGTGAAAATCTTAGAAAAGTTGAGAGAAGCTGAGATGAAAAGAGATGAGAAAAGCTCAAATGACAGGAGAAGGGAAGAGAACAGTCGTGATCAGCTGACAAGAGCTGAGAAAGGGAGAGAAGACATGAGATGGGATGAGATGAGATGAGATGAGGTGAAAAAAGTTGAGAAGACATGAGATGAGATGAAATGAGATGAGATGAGATGGGATGACACAGACTGCGGTGACAGTGGGATGCAGTGAGCAATTTCCAAGAGAAGCTGCGATGTGATGAGATCAGATGAAATGAGAGAAGATTCAACATCCAAAAGACATGGCATCAGATTGAAAGTCAAGAGATTGTTGCTGTGAAGCAGGGAAGGCTTGCCTGTCATCTATAGGCACAGACTTTGCTCCGCTCTAGAGGCTATAAGCGTTTAAGTTTTGAAACTTCCGCCCGCGGCTTGCCCGGGAACCACTTGTACTATTGTCTTTTGCAGCTGGACACCATAAATCGTAATGGAGTGGCCGCATCAAGGTTGCGATAGTGATTTGTCAGCAAATTTTCGCAATTTTGGCGCTGGTGATTTTCCTTTTAAAATTCCTTCTATAAGTGTTTCAAAATCGTCTTTTTGTTGCGTCGGCGCCGACATCCGGTTTTCAAGCTGCAAATTCTGGCACCATTGTGCGAAAAGGCTTGTGTGTGTGTGTAAAAGCTTCTCTGTGTAAAAGCTTGCTGTGTGTAGAAGCTTCTCTGTATAAATGCTTCTGTGTGTAAGGGCTTCTCTGTGTGAAAGTTTGCTGTGTTTAAAAGCTTCTGTGTGTTAAAGCTTTTCTGTGTAAAAGCCCATCCGTGTAAAAGCTTGCTGTTTGTAAAAGCTTCTGGGTAGGGGCTTCTCTGTGTGAAGGCTCGCTGTGTGTAAAAGCGTCCTGTGTGCAAAAGCTTCTCTCTGTAAAGGCTTCTCTGTGCAAAAGCTTGTTGTGTGTAAAAGCTTCTCTGTGTAAAAGCTTGTTGTCTGCCAAGTACTTTGCTCAAGCTTTGTAGTACAGGGTAGTACGTTGTGTAACTTCTTAGTGCAAAGTAGTACTGGGAAGTACTTTGTGCGAGCTTTGTACTTTGTGCAAGTTTTATGGAACAAAGTAGTACTGGGAACTGCTTTGTGCAAGCTTTGTAGTACAGAGCCGTACTGGGAAGTGCTTCGGGCAACTTTTGTAGTACAAAGTAGTACTGGGAAATGCTTTGCGCAAGCTTTGCAGTACAAAGTAGTACTGGAAGTGCTCTGTGCAAGCGTTGTAGTTCAAAGTAGTACTGGGAGGTGCTTTGTGCAAGCTTTTTAGTGCAGAGTAGTACTGTGAAGTACTTTGTGCAAGCTTTGTAGTACAAAGTAGTACTGGGAAATGCTTTGTGCAAGCTTTGTAGTGCAAAGTAGTACTGGGACATACTTTGTGCGAATCTTGTAATACAAATTACTACTAGGTGATGAGATGAGATGAGATGGGATGACCTGACAGGAGAAGAGTGGTGAAGAGCTGAGAAGAGCTTAGAAGAGCTGAGTTGAGACGAGCTGCGTAGAATGGAGAAGCTGAGAAAAGCTGAAAAGAGAAGAGTTCAGATGTGCTGACAAAAGATGAGAAAAGCTCAAGTGGCATGAGAAGAGAAGAGAACAGTTGTGATCAGCTGAGAAGGGCTAAGAAAGGGAGAGAAGACATGAGATGGGATGAGATGAGATGAGGTGAAAAAAGTTGAGAAGACATGAGATGAGATGAAATGAGATGAGATGAGATGGGATGACACAGACTGCGGTGACAATGGGATGCAATGAGCAATTTCCAGGAGAAGCTGCGATGTGATGAGATCAGATGAAATGAGAGAAGATTCAACATTCAAAAGACACGGCATCAGATTGACAAGTCAAGAGCTTGTTGCTGCGAAGCAGGGAGGGCCTGGCCGTCACCTATAGGCACAGTCTTTGCTCCGCTCTATAGGTTATAAGCGTTTCAATTTTGAAACTTCCGCCCCCGGCTTGCCCGGGAACTACTTGTATTGTATTGCATTATTTGCATTACTTTCACAACACTCACGGTGAATATCATATTGTATAGTATGTGTGTGTGTGCGTGGGCATGCGAACTCGTGGTGACAGATGAAACCCAGCTGGATGGACGCAGCGGGGTTCGAGTCCGAGGGGGGGTGTCACAGTTCGGCATGATTAATCATGCCGAACAGGGGGGCCCCAAAGTGAGTTCGACATGAAAAATCATGGCACCGGCGTCTAGTCTGCCCCGATTCATTGCTAAAGCAAATCCAACTTCAGCGCAAGCAACCACGCTTTCGTGATATGATATTACTTTGAAATTTGCCTGACATGGGCAAACTCCTCCAGAGAGGTTTATTTTAGCTTTGCATGATACAACCACAACCCAACTCCTCAAATCCAGACTGCAACTCAAAATGCCTCTCATGAGAGTGCATTGGTGCCCATTTCCGCTCATCACCACTTACCCCGTTCTGAGGGTTTCACCGTTGTGCCCCTGCTGGTGTTCGAAAGTTGATGAATGCATAGCCCACATTACACCTGCTGCTGAAGTCAATCGGAAGGTACACGAAGTCATACAGGCCCTGGCACAGCACTGCTTCGGCATTCTGGGAACATGCTGGAAATTTGCTGGGAACATGATGGAACATGTGTTCGCGCACTACTGCTGCTGCTGCCCTATACTATAGTTACTATACCATGCCTCATACCCTTTGTCAAGCCGATTGATCAGCATTTCCCGCGTATAGCGATTGGGAATGTTCCTCAGTTGCCAAAGTAAATTTGATCATGCTCCAGTTGTTTCTGATCTTGGTGTTTACATAGGGAACATCATTCAGACTGTCTTGTTGCAGCTGCGCTACCTCAGCATGACAGTGGTGTAGCCTGCATCACAAGTTCGTTCCAAAGATCCAAATGTGATCTTAACACGACAAAAGACGTACAGCTAAGATCCAACATACAGGTCAAAGATGGTTAAACATCGACAAACACAATATAGTGTTCAGGGTGCACCAAACTCTGAAACCACCTCCAAACAGCAACAGCGGGTAAAGAAATGGAGACAGGGATCTTAGTTCATGTGCTTATCACCGCAACCTCCCTCACTCAATCCAACCAAAACTAGTGCAGGTGCCCAAATCATGAATGCTACACTCCTCTACTACAACTTCATGATTCCTTGATTTTTCATTACCTGAATTTCATGGCACAAGGCGAGATCATGCATCACATCAGCAATCAGTCCTGGATAGCCCATTGCTCCGTACATACCAGGCATGCCGAAGGCAGACACAGCAGACACCATGCTTTGCAAGTACCTAAAAGCACACGTTTCGTTGCATTCTCTTGACACCAGTAGACAAGGCCAAATCTGAAACATGTTGAAAGTTCAAACTGTGCCAAACTGTGCCAAACTATGCCCCGTACGTGATCATTGCAGGGTCAGCTGGAGCAGATGCTGCTGCACCCTCTGTCACAAGTTCCTGTGAAGTCTCAATCAAAGTCTACTTGATTCGTGAATCTGAAATGAAGCGCAATAGATTCTCTGGATTCTATAGATCTGAAAAACTGAAGTTTTCAAGTTCGAAAGGAATAGAAAGATAGTGTCTGAAAGGTTCAAATATCCAACGCTCTTTGTTAGGTTCTTCTCAAATTTGTCCGCTTGTTTGGACTAAATGATTCTCCCCTCAAACTCTCTCCGCTCTCTTTTCTTCACCACTATATTATATTGCTTGCATCACAAACAAAACAGGCCTTCTCTTGAGTTGCAGGCACCAGCACCACTACAATATTCCAACGTAGTTTTAGATGACCAACGTGTTCAAAACAAGATAATCCCCACCTCCTTTTACTAAACGTACCCCAAATACCAAAAAGTACGGTTAAATTTTGGGAAATTTCAGACTGGCCAAGTTGATTTTTAATTGATCCCCTTTCGAAAACAAATTAAAAATGAAGGTTCCATTTCAGGGTTTCACCCCCTAATAATAAAAACTAGTCAAACCCGAGGAGTTTTTTATTAGGGTCCGTCTTTTAAGGTCGAAAAAGAAAAAGTATTTCATATTAAGGTTTTTAATTTAATATTAGGGGAAAGCATCGAAATCCAATTTTTGGCAATATTTTAATTAGATTTGAAAAGGAAATCTAATCGATTTTGAAATAGTTTTTTTTAGTTGTTTATATTAGGGTTTTTACTTGAATATTAGGGGAAAGCATCGAAATCCATTTTTTTGCAATATTTTAATTAGATCTTAAAAGGGAATCTATATAGTCGATTTTGAAATACGAAATTTTAGGTCTTTATATGAGGGTTTTTAATTTAGTACAGTATTAGGGGGAAGCTTCGCACCCTAATACTAAATACCCCCTAATACTAAAAACTCCTCCAGGTGTTTATTATTTGGGGGTGGCGGTTTCGTAATAGGGGGAAGGGATTATTTAATTGATTCTTCAGGTTTTTTTTCAAAGCTGCTCTCTTTCTTACAGTCCTTCAAGTTTTCATGAGTCCATCCCGCTCTTAGCCGGGAGTCTCTTTGGACCTGAGGTACATGTGCCCTGATGTTTCTAGCCCCAGGATCCGTTATCATCCGTTATCCAGTCGTCCAGCAATCGCTTAAGTCTTTTCTTGAATTGAGCTTGGTGGTTGTTTGCTTCAGCAAGCTCCTCAAGATACTTGTTCAATCTTGTTCATTTATACTCGTATCTCAGCAACTCCCTGCTGGGTACTCTTTTGTCATTTCAGGTAGTCACTCTATCCTGGTTACAAGTCCTTTTGGACCTACTTGCCGAATACGTTTTTTGACCCTCCAATGAATCATCGCTCTCCAATTTTGAACTCGTGTGTCTTGTTTTATTTTCTGTTGTTTCCATTTTCTTTTGACAAATTTCCTCACCACTTGGCAGACCCAAACCGAAGGCTCCTGCACTAGCAGCTGAGTGGATGGACGCCTGATCAGCTCTTGTGCGACATTCCATGAAATCGCACTGCAGAGAAATTCAGCATTTATCCTGCATTCATCCTAATCCTGCAAGAAAATATATAGCAAGATATGCTACTTAAAGAATATGTTTTTCAATTTTCACGGGAAAGCAACAGCAATACGAGCACACAGGACTGAGACAAAGCCTCCAGATTATGTATCAAATCGAATCCAGTCGGCCCGGCAATTGCCATCGACTCAGCCAGAAAAAAACATTAGCCATATTTAGCCATGGACCATGCGCCTCTCTTCAGTGCCCTCAACCTCCACCAGAAGAGGAAACATTGCATATTTCTTGCATGCACGTGCAACATCTTGTAAAAGGCCAGTGGACATGGCCCCCTAAGGTACAAAGTCTACAAATCCTTTTAGGCCAATGGATCTCCATACAAGGCGTGTTGAAGCAACCACTAATTTTTTTCAGTGTCCTCCAGGATCTTTTGAAGCCTTGTACGAGAAGAAAAACCAAATGAACTCGGATTGTACGAAACATCCTGTCCGTCGATGGCCTTTTGCTCCTTTGATCCCTTTCTGCTGGTGTTTTCATCTTCTGGCCGCGCCTTGTCCATGCCCCGATATATGCCAGCAATAGAGAAAACCAAGCCAACCGCAGCCAACCGCAGCCAACCAAACAAAATGTTGGGGCAGATTCGGCCGATTGGTAACAAAATGTTCATGCTACAAGGGCTTCGCCTCCGTGCGGTAACGAAGCTCTTTGGGTGCCTTGTCAACTTGTGATCAAGTCTGACGATTGACGTAACAAGTGTGCGTCTTGTGTCACTCCGCTCTACGGGGGGAACCTCATCCATGGAGTTGGCTTCTTGCCTCAAGGAACAATAGAATCAACATGGAGCTGACTTACACAATTTTGGCGCGTGCCCATGCAGGCTTAGTGCACCTGGCTTGCAAATGTGCATGTGCCAGCAACCCTATGTTACTATGGAATTTTGGTAAGGATGTGACAAGACCAACAACGCTCCACCATCTTTGCATGTACCATATGTCCTCAGAAGCTGATTGCGGTCGTATTTCGGTCCTGGGCAGACTGGGCCAGACACAAAATCTAAGCAAATCGATGACTTCAACAAATCGCATGAAAAAAATAAAAACACACAAAACGAACAAAACTGCACCTGCTTGCGCTGCGCCTTCCTTGGCAGCAGTATGGTATCATTGATGTACATCATTGGTGGGACTCATCTCAAAGCGCAGCACCTCGTTTTCTTTTCCCTTTTTGCCGGCCTGGTAGGAGTCTTGGGATATGTCAATATATGTCATATGTCCAAGGCAAATATTCATCCAACTAGCCATGTTTTCTTTCCAGTAAATGCCAATGAGGGAAAGCAACTGAAATCGTCCCTGGCCTGTTTCTCAGAGCCTTTTGGAATCCACTTTTGTTTGGTGGAAGACACTTTTCCACCTGATCCCTGGCAGAACGCACGCATGTCTGAAAAACTGAAAACTGTTTTTTTCCTGGTGCTGTATGTGTGCACAAGAAAGGAATGGACACGTGCCAAGCCACCTTTGGCATATCGATGTTCCAACCTGGATCCCGCTGCAATTTCCACCCCAAATTCCAGTGCAAATTTGTGCGGCTATCAATTCATTCTTTGTCCCAGCCTCTGGCAAGCGCGCACTACTCAAAGCCAGATCGCTTGATGCTGAAACATCACCAAAAAGTGGTCGGATTGTTGTCCAACGATGTCACCACGGCCGTGGATTTCATACCATGCAAAACAAGACACTTGATTATGCATTTCACATATGCCATGCGTACACTAACACGGAGAAACAACAAACCACAAATCCAAATTGGAGTTCGATCAAAGAGCAATGCTGCGAAAATGAACCGCACATACATACCACAACCAGGCTGAACAAAATGAGATGAAACTGGATGTAAACATGTTGGTTACGAATACAGACCTTCCAATGAGTGTAATTGAGAATTGGCAGTTGGAGATTCCAAACCCGCCCAAAATTTTCGTTTTTTTCACCCATGTTTGCAGGCGAAGGTCAAAATGATTTATGTTTGCGCAACGATAAAATTCAATTCGAAAATTGTTGATCATCCAATGCCAACTAAGCATTCCCTATGTCGAAAGTCCATGTCCCAGGGTATCTTCTCAAGTGAAACAAGGGATCTGCGTGCAGCAAATGTGTCTGCACACTTCGCACATGCCCGGAAAGTGACGGGCAATCCTTGGATTGACGGTTGGCCTAAAGAATCAAAAATGGTGATGGGTAACTTGGTTTCAAAATGTTTCAAATTCATTTGCGCATTGTCGCCAGATTCCGATTCTGAATTTTCACATGTTTGCTGCGCAGGTCTGAGTTAAGTTTGCAATCATTTACAGGCCCCATCACGCTTCAATTTCTTGAATATTCATGTATATTTCGTTGGATGTTTTGATTCGTGCGCAAAATTAAACCAAAAATAATCATTAACCCAACTTTGCCACCCAACAACAAGTTCCAAGTATCCACGGTTCCAAGGTGTCGTTCCGGCTTGGGCCCGGCAACAAACATGAGCACATCCAGACCCAGAAATTCAAACCCAACGGTCCCTGCTGTTGGAAACAAATTCATGTTTTCAAACGACTAGACAACAGTATGGCCGAAAGAAAGGCAGGAGGGAGTATATAGATCACAGGAGGATGGAAGAGAAGATATGAAGATGAATGATGATGGATGATACTGAATGATATTTAATGATACTGAATGATACCGAATGATACTGAATGATACTGAATGATACTGAATGCTACTGAATGATACTGAATGATATGTGAAGTGGTTGATGCCGAATGATGAATGAACATTTGATGAGGGATAATCTAGTTACTATTATTACAGCATATGATGGGTCACGGATTTATTGGGTAACTAAAACGTTTTATTGGGTAACCAAAACGTTTTATTGAGTAACTAAAACATTTGATTCGGTAACCAAGACGTGTTATTGGGTAACCATGTTATTTGGTAACTAAAATGCGTTATTTGGAAACTGAAACTTTTCCTTGGCCCAAAAGCGTCTGGAATGTACACTTCAGATTTGTGCGTGTTGCACATCAACTGCATCACAACTACATGTCTGTATATATGCTATTGGAGCTGGAATACCGCAGGAGTAAACTAGTTTCACCCCGCCTTGGCATAGTTCTATGAACTGATGCCACAAAACAAAAGGAAAATGGTTAGGATGTCAAATGGCTATGACTGCATGGGGACGGCATTGCGTTGCCACGACTTGTCCTTGTCTCTTTGAGACATGCCAAACTGATTCATCCAAGAAACACTCTAATTTCCTCAAGGTAAGTTTCTGGGCTACCTGAGATCCAAGTTACCCTCAGGCCTGCCTTCACATTTGAGCGCAATGCCAGCAGCTGTCTGGCTGGCTTTGCACACTTCCATTTCTGTCTCAAGGGTCTTCTTCATCAGTGAACTCGCCATAGTGGAGACTCGCCCATAAATCAGGATCTGCTTGTTTTGCTTGAGTCACAAGCGCCTCACGATAAGAACTGATACTACCTGATCAAATTCCTATGTGACATGGGATGCAACACATGCAACTGCACAACTACAACAGGCGACAATATGTTGCACCCCGCCTTGATGCATGTGTCAACAAGGCATCAAACATCTAAAATGACATTGTGCACCTACGCAAATGTTGAAAGTCACTAAGAGCTCCAAACAATGCCGCTGGGGCGCACTGTGGCGTGCCACTACTTGCAAGACTTCTTTGAAGTCAGTTTGAAGCTCATTTCGCCAAGAATCAAAGCTACCAAACTTTTGAATTATTGGATGGACCCCACTTCACGGCTAAGTTTCTGAGCTGGAAATGTCATCATCGCTTTGGCCGTGGTGGTACACCATCCATTCCTCTGGATCACTCACTTCGCACATCTCGCTGGACATATAGCGTCGTGCTCGTTCTGATTCGGTTTCCATCCCAACGTCTGAATCTGTTTCCATTTGTTCTTCTTCAGCTGCTTCTTGCCCATTTGAACCATTCGATGCCAACATGTTGATCATGGCATCGGCAACTGCATTAACATGTGAACTTGCTGCTGGCGTGCTGCTTGAGGATGCACTCATTGTTTGAACCAACTGTGTGCCAATGCTCACAGCTCTTTCAGCGTCATCCAAAACTGCACACATATCCATTGTTGAAAGGCCATTGTTCGGCGACTCCTCATCTGATGAAATGTCACTCATCGTTCGAGTCATTTGGCTCGCAGAGTGTCGCAGTCCTGGATCATTGCTTCGGCACTCACGCATCACGGCACGTAAAACAGCAAGTCTTTCAGCATACAAAGTTCTTCGGGCATCGGTTGTTGCAGCTTCGTGGCGACGCATGCATCTTTCGTACATCCAGGTCAGCATTGCTTCCGGGGACCATGCATCTCCTGGAAGCGGCAAGTCCCTTGAAGTTGAAAACCTTGGCATGCCAGAATCATCATGTCCACCAGCATCTGTCGATGGATCAGTTGAACTGCTTGCACCAGCGGTAATTGGGTCACTGCTGCTTCCAATCAAACGTGGAACTGGTGGCATCTTTGGCATTGCGGTTTCTGCAGGTCCATCAAACATGTCATGCAAACCTGGGTCACCACTTGAACCACTTGCAACTGGCATGATTTCTTGTTCAGGCTCTTGCTCTGCTGGTCGCGTTGCAAACCAACCAAGCCATGAAAATACCAGTGGCAGCATCAAGAAAAGGCCAAGCAGGATTGTGAAGACTAAAAGTCCTTGATCACTTGAAACGGGCTCTGTTGACTCGCACCCTGGAAATTCAGTAGGCTCAAGGCGCAGACAAGAGCGCGTACATTGTAGCGCTTGATAAACACTTTTCCAGGATCATCACTGCCTTCGAGAGCCCCTGTGTCGCGGTTGTACAAACTTAACACCGACATCAGTGATCTCAATCTCGGTGCCGAAAGTCGTTTTGTTCCGATGTCTGCAGGATTGATGCTTCCACTCACGCTGCAAAGTTTAATGATGCCAGCTGAAATCAATTGTTGTAACCATAGGATTCTGCAACTCAGATGTCTCAGGCGGCCAACTCCCTGACGTTGAAGGATACCTTTCGCGCCGCTTGAATCTGTGTATGCATAGATGATTGTGCGGCGACCAGTCAACCAAGCAAGCATTCTTGACAGAAGAATTGCATCAGAACATCCACTGCTGCTTGCATAGACTTCTGCTTCCGCTGAACTCAAACTGATAATTTTCTGGGTCCTTGAAGCGGAAAAGAGTAGGCAACCACCATAGAAAATCACGCAGCAAGAGACACTTCTGCGCGACTGCCTGTCGCTTGCCCAGTCGCTGTCGGTAAATACCTCCAGCACATTGTCACATTGGCTGATGTCAGGGTACCCATGGTAAATCCCGCTATTGCGGCCATTCCATTTCAGAGACACTGAGATTTCACTGTGGCTTGCCAAATACGCAACCAAATGCTTCAAAACTGTCAAGCTCTTCTGGGTAGGCTTTGAACTGTATGTTGACAAATGGCGGATCACGCATTGGCAATGTGGAACATCATTGGCCAGGTACATCAAGATACCAACGCACGTTCTGAAAATGCTTGCAGCATCACCAGACAAATCCTCTGTTGTATCTTCACGATCGATGTCTGAATGTGCAGGCGTCTTTTTGTTTTGATGTTTGGGATTCATCCCAAGCAGTGAGCACAGCTGACTGATGTGCTTCCAGTGAGTCTGAATCGTCATGCGGCCATCATGATGAAGGACATGCAACCGCTTCAGAAACGTAATCTCATCACCAGGTTTTTCCATACACTGCATTGAGATGTCATAGGCCTTGCGAAGTTCCGTAGCAAACCTTCCAAGGACAAAGCTTTTACGCCCTGCAACAAGTAAATCATCAACATGGATCATGACGATGCAACTGTTGTCCTTTGATTTCAAAACGCATGGATAAGGAGCATGTTCTTCAAGGTCAAGGGTCTTTTTCAGGTATGATGTGGTGGCTTTGTACCACAACAAGCTGCCATCACGTTGTCCAGGCAAAACGCGACCCAATGCAAAGCTCCTTACATTTCCTCCAGCGTCACTGGTGTGAACAAGCGTTGGGCACTCCTGTTGCACTGTCAAAAATGCATCTCGAACATCAAGGCTGGCCAAAATGGCATCTTCCATGTCTCTCATTTCCAAGAAAATGGTGGGCAAGATGCGGCTGATGATTGAACCACTAGCTGGCGAAAACAAACTTTCTCGCTCAGGCTCCAACCAAGCAAACTCTCTGGCCACAAACCTCGAACGTCTAAGCCAAATGGCATTGCCTCTGTCATCATGTTTTTCGCGCCATGTTCGCACGAATCTCGTGCTGAGCACTTTGGAGTTGCTTGGCACCGTCTCTGGGCTTTGCAAAACTTGAAGCTTCTGCAAACGCTGCAATTCCAATTGGTCTGCAAGTG